CCTCCGCCTCCTCCTCCTCCCTGCTCGTGCCTGCGCTGGGGAGGTGCCGATTTGCTCTGTATGGTATTGGGAATGTCTGCGGTTACAGACCTCACATTTTGGCCCCCGAGAGCCCTGGTTTTGGGGCACATGATATGTTGCGCAGAATGTTTTGGCTCTAGCAGAGCAGCCTTGGCACCGCCTTAGCTGGAGCGGCGGGGGTTGGAGCGGCGGTGGTGGCCTGCACACGTGCTGGGTATTTTGGACGCGTGTGAGCTTCTGGCACATCCCAGGGACCTCTTTCTGCTCGGTGAGCTGGAAGAGTGCTGTGCTTAGCCGGCTGATTTTGGATTCCAGGGCTGCACAGCCACAATTAGCTGACTGCTGCAGTGTGTTTGAGTACAGATCACTGCATCCCAGGCACTACCCACCTGGGTGACTTCATTCAATACTTGTGATTACCTGCGATAACTCCCCAAATATGACACCGAGGGAGGCTGTTTGTTTTTAAGGCAGTCCCAGCTGTCAGGACATGGGATCTCTCTGCCCTGTGCAAAGACATTTAATAGAAAGCAAGCCTCCAAGGACAAAAGATCTTTGCTCTCCTAATCATTTCCAAACTGAAGTTCTCCCCTGCTAAATCTCCATGTTCCTTTTGCCAAATTGCTCAGAGGATCCGGGCTGGCTGCTCTACCCAGGCTCAGCTGCCAGAGAGGAAATCTCGGCCATGACCGTGCCTGCTGGGGACAGACGGAGCCGAGATTTCCCTCTCCATATCTCTGCACAGCAGCAGTGCGGGGTTCCCTCTGCAATGTGGGCAGCAGCTCCATATGTGATGTCCAGAGGAAGGCTTAGGGAGGACCTGTGTGATTAAGTTAGGCAGCCCAGGTTATGTTAGTGAGCCTGAACACGAGACAGCCGGTCTGAACTTACCAGCCTTGATAAAGAAGTTCTACATCTTCTGTAGAGTTGCTCATATTTGCAGCAGTCAAGACCTTTCTTTGCTGTCATGAGGGACGTGACCTTTTAGCACTCGCTTATGTGAAGGATGAGGCATACCACATGCATCCTATGTACTCTGTGCTCCGCTCGTGCAGGACTGCTCTGCAGCTCTGGGGATGTGATGAATTTATTGTCATGTATTAGGAATGCTCTCGTATGCCAAGGGCTTCCAACTAGGCACTGCCCTGCAGAGCAGCAAAGGCTAAAGTAAAGCTCCTTCTGACCCAGCACACCACTTCTTGATTTGCTCCAAAATGGGTAGATCTGGGGGCACTGCAAAGATCTAGATTTCCTCCCTGGAAATCTAGAATAATCAGACACCTGCAATTACTTTGTTTTTTTGAAAATAAACACAAATTACCTACTGTCAAATTCTTTCCCTTGCAAATGGACCGTAGTGTGGCACTGAGGGAGACGCTGCCTCCTCCAGCACGGTGCGGCCGTGGGGCTTGTCCCATGGGGACACCTGCCTGCCCGAATGATTCAGAGTGGCTTTGAATTCTCATTCAATTCTCTGATATCACTTTTAGTATGCAGTTATTATGCAGATGTCACTCAAATTGCCTCATGTTGAGGTGCCTACAGATATCAGAAATCTTTGAATTGCAAGGGTCAAAGAACTCTTGTTATCTTACCTGCAGAATTCCCAGTGCTCAGGGACTTTTCTGCTCAGAAGCCAATTTCCTTACTTTTTTCTTTTTCTTTACAAGGTGTGTTTAGCTGCATCAGTTTTTGTCATTAGAGCTATGGGAACAGGAAATCTCTCTGGAGCTCTCGCTAAAGTCTTAGTGATGGTTGTAGAAAGATTCCTGTTGGTATGAACAGATTTCATTCACTCAATTCCTTCCCTCTTCCCCACCAAACTGAACCAAACCAAACCACTGCTTTGGTTTTCCAGGCTTACAATGTTGTGGAAAGCCTAACTGACAGCTGAGAAAGAATGAGGGCTTGACTAGGTTTCCAAAGCCTAAAAAGTGGCAGCTGGGGAGCAGTGGATGTCTAAAACAGCTATGAAATACTTAAATTTTGGGCACAATCCTGCAAAAGCAGATGCCCAAGAGACACCTTCCACCCAGGAGGAGGGGATTCCTCCACAGCAAGTGACCCATTGCTGCACAGGGTATTATTACAGTGTGACCCTCACAAGTCAGCAGCCGTGGCATGTGTTAGGATAAAAGTTGGCTGCCCCACCTAACAATCTTCCTGTCTAAAGCTTAAAGAACAAAAATTCCTAGGAAATGGTCATTTAGGGGAAGTAATATCTCTAAAATGCACTGCCTGTTTGATATAGTGATGCTGATGGTGACCTTACACGTGTTAAAATCACTGCCAGATGCTGGCAGATGAGTTTCTCCCACCAGCAATACTTGCTTTGTGTTCACACCTCTCTTCTGCAGCCCGGAGGCTGTGGTCAGCACTCTCCCATTTCCATTTTCTCTTCCTCCCTTTCCCTCCTGCCTTTCATTAATCACCCACGGGGTATGAAGAGTTCCTCCTGCATGGCTCTGCAGGACTACTTGGGAAATAAACCCACCTGAAGGCTTGGAAAGGCACCTGAAATGACCGCCGCTGGTGTGCAACTACAGTCACTGCTCCTGACCTCCCTATTTCTGCAGGCAGACAGGGGTGAGCTCTGCCCAGGCTTTAAGCTGACCCGATGCTGGTGAGCCCTGTTTAGCACAGCATTCAGCCCAAGTTGATAAGTCCCACTAAAAGGCATGGTGTGAGTTGAAGGCCATACTAAATCAGGAGCACATGGCTTCCAGACAGCCTAGAGTGTGGGTAGATATCTCCTTCTAAGTGTCTAACTTCCCACCATCCTCTCCAGAAGAACATTACCCTGGGGAAAATTCAATTAAAGAGGAGTCTTGCAGAAGTATATGAGGCAGTTAGGTAACCAGTTCCAACTGAAAGTCCATGGAAACTTGCTGCTAAGCTGGCCTTTCTGGCTTCAAAATATCTATTTGGGATCAGAGTATCAAAAGAGCTGAACACCTATGCAGCCTTTGCAGAAAAGTTCATCAAATGGGCCAATTCTCCAAAGAAACTTGGTGTCCTGAGGGCAGCTCTGCTACCTGAACTCATGAGCACACTTTCCCAAGCAGATGCCAGCAGTAATGTCTCATTAGAATAACTGAAGAGTCTGTTTTGCTAATTGGCACCGTAGATACCTTGACCTCTGCTTTTGTTTCACTGGAGTCTGATTTTTTGTGATTACATTTAATAGTGACTGCAAGCGGAACTGAAGGAGAGCAGGCAAGGGAGGGAAGGGGGAAAGAAAAGAAAGGAAAATGTGTCCGGTTGTGACAAGACAAGCTGTCCAGCAAATGTCACTACAAAGGAGAGAGATTTTGGAAGGATGGGTCTGGGCATTACTGACAATTGTTCTTTCATGCCCAACTGAGTGCTGCCTTTGTCCATGGACTTCAAACCTCTCCCGCCCTTTCCTTCTCTTCTGTGTAATTCCCTGCTCCCTTGAGAGATCCAGTAACTAATTTATTCCTCTGTCTCCTTTAGCCTATTCCCTCCAGCAACGCCACTTAAGTGGGCTGGTGGGCTACCAGTAACCAGCTCACTTTCATCTGCCTGTCATCCCCTGGCCACTGGGCACTGTGCTGCGCCACGCGCACCCTCCCGCGCCTGCATACGGCCAGCAAACATCTCCGGCAGCCGGATGCACCGCTCGGATGTGTAAAAGTTATAGAGGGCAACGGTGGGGCTGGGGGGGAGGAGGCACTGGGGGGGCTGTTTGGAGAGCTGTGGGCCAGTGGCTGGAAGCAGGACACTCGCAAAAGGCATAAAGGCTTGACAGGGTTGGGGCTGGGGCTGAAAACTCGTGGTTGGGGATTAGTGTGCTTTCAAACGTGCAACGTGTGTGTGCCGACCTCAGAGAGGGTCACAGTGTGCTGTGGATGACCTGGGGACAAGGAAGACTTTTGGGCCATGTCTCTGGCATTGCCCCTCCTCTCTGTTTTGGCTTGGCACCTTAACCCTGGCACTCACGGGCTGGTCCTGGTGTTGATGGAGCAGTAGCCGGGGAGTGAGAGGCAAGGTGGGGACACCCTTTGCATCCGTCCTTCCTCCCCCAGTGCCACCGCTGAAGAGAAGCTACAGGCCACACTCCTAAAGATTCAAACCCAGAAGAGACAGTCAGCGTAGATGCCATTTACCTTTTCTCATCATGTCTGTAAGATGTAGAGCTCCGGCCACTGGTCCAAATAAACATTTTAGAGGGTTGCCCAGTGTTGGCTTTGCTTGCTGCGGTGGGATGATGGAAGGACCTGGGGGAAGAGGGATAATTTTGTCACTGCCCATCCAACACGGCAGACCACGTTATACCCAGCGTGCCAAATCCCCTGTGGCCGTGCCCAATGTGTTCTAAAAGATGGACCATTTGTTAATTCAAGGTGAGATGTACAATAATGGGGATGAGAGAGCAGTGGGTGGGAATGAAGGATAAATCTCATTAGCCCCACTGGTAAAATGTGATCCTGGCTAATTAGGCTTAGCTATGCTCCACACTGCAAAGGATTTTCACCATGGACAAGAAGTCATAGGTAGTTTAAGAAAAGGTAATAGCTGCATCCAGTGCTCTTACGGCAGTATTCTGGGGGCAGAAGGTGGCTATTTAAGCACACACACGTTCATTACAGCTTATTGGTTGTATAGCAGCTCTCAATGTGCTGAGGCTCTCAAGGGAAGTGTCTGAATGAGGCACAAGTATGAGATGTAACTGCAGCATTTTGTGGAACTGTAACTGATGTGACAAAGACATCTTTTCCCACAGAGAAATTACTGTCCCAAGGCCATTTCGCCAGACCAGTTGCATGCCTGCCCAGGGGCTGCTTTGTTTCACAGCAGGGTATGAGACCTGCTGCCTTCTCTCAGGCTCTCAGGGTCTTCTGAAGAGGGGAAAAGTCAGAGGGGTTTCATTTTAAGGACTGAATTTGAATCCTGTACTTCAGTTAGATCTCATAGAATCAGAAATACAGAGTTGAAAGGATCTCAAGAAGTGTTGCTGCTCTCTTGCCCTAATTTAAGGCACATTCCCTGTATCTATGTTATTCCTAGCAGATTCAGATCAGCTGAGTATGAACAACCATTTTTCACACGGTAACTTCATTGCCAGATGGAAGCATAGGCTGTATTGAACCTGCTAGTGGGGCTTACAGCCCCGCTCATAGCTCCTCCTAATCTGCTCCTGGTTTTAGTGAGGCTCCGTTAAAATCTCGATCTCTGAGAATTGGGCCCTTCTTGGTGCGGGCTGTATTTTGCATTATTTCATGGCACAGCACTTTATGATTTTATTGCATTCAGAGCAAGACTTAGGAAAAAAAAGGAATATTCCAGATACCAAATGCTCTAATGCTGAAGTTTTTCATACACTGGGGGCCATTCTTTAGCTCACCAAAAAATAAACCTGGCTGTCGATGCTGCCAGTGGAGAAGGCACATGAATTCCTCAGTGCTCCTCGCCTGAAAAATTCTGTAATACCACTATCTACATAATCATGCAAAGGGCGAATTTCAATATTTGCATAGTGGTGAACCTGGGAGAATACTTAAATCCTGCAGAGGTGGCTGCAGGGGAAGACTGACATGGATGGGAGCCAAAATCCGTCTGTACGCAGACGGGCTGATGGGTGCCAAGGGACCAGGCTCTCCATCTGGAGTCAGCCCAGAGCCCTGCCATGGGGTCCGTGGCGCAGACCAGGCCAAACTCACAGACTGGGCAAACTGGTCAAACTGGTGACCCCGTCACCTCCTCCCTGTTGTGCTCCTGCTGATCCTTGTTGCTGCGATGCTCACAGACCCTGGCTCGGGACGGGGGCTTGCAGGCAGGGATTTTGCTTGAAATCACAGTAATATCTGACAAAGCTTTTGTGCTGCATTTCATGCACAGCAAATTGGTCAAGAAGGTGGCCCAAAAGAAAGGAGGCAGAAAGAGGGGAATATCGCCCAGCCCTTTCCCTGACTCTGTGGTCATCATTGCAGCTCTCAGAGCCAAAAAAGAGTCTTTTCTTTCCTTACAACCACTATAGTTAAGTATTGGGGAATAAACAATAAGAAGAGGCACTTCCTCCCTGAAATCACTGTAGTTTAGAAGTTAAAATAGTATCTACCAGGATCTGATTAATATAGCCACCATCTAAGAAGTGTTTTTGGAGTGATCACGGACCCAAGTTTTGCAGGACCTCGGGTCTAATCCTCACTCTGGTATGTAAGATTGCACCTACACTACCCCAGCAGCACAAGAGCAACTGCCAAGCCTGTGCTGAAGGAGCTGGTGTTTCCACGTCGGGCAATGCCGGAGGGCTCAGAGGAACTATCCAAGGGCCTGGAGGCCATATGGGGTATTGGACTGAGACCTGTCCCAGGCTGAGCCCCTTAACCTGGAAAATAATTTTTTATATATATGTATATTTGCAACTGCATCCTTTAGGATGTCACAGGTGAGTTGCACGGCAGGAAAGCCTGGCTGGCTGTGCTGCCACAGCCTGAGCGGTCCCAGAGCCATCAGGAGACAATGGTGAATGCTATTAGAGAGTCTGTTCTTAATTAAGCAAAACTTGGGCACAGATTAGAGGTGATCAGCAGCTTCTGCTGCCTGTCTGAGTCAACAGGGACACCTGGGCAGGACCGCCTGGGCAGTGAGGCAGGTTCACAAGCTGCAGAGCAAATGCGAGAGCTGGGTGAGAGGAGAGGGGTCAGCCCCACTGAGGGGATGCCAGGGGAGGAAAGGGGTGTCTGTCTTCTCCCCAAAGTCAGAGTTATTTCAGACTCCCTCATAGTGCCAGTGCCCTGGAGCAGTCCATGTGCAATAGCATTAATGCTGCCTGCTTCATTAGTTGGGCAATCCAAGCTAACCACCACTATTTAACACACAATTACACACCTAATTTTGTGTAATATTGTTACACTGATGACATCACAGCAGAGGTCAGATGTAAATGACTCAAGTCCATGTTTTCTTTAGGGGGGGGTTAACTGTAAGGTGGGAGCCTTTTGCAGAACAGTAATAACACAAACTCCCCAAGACCTCCTTTGAAGGTCTTTGAAGGACTTGTAACTTAGAATGGTTACAACCTACACAACCATGTCCTGCTCTGCAGATCAGTTAGCAAAATTCCATGCCTTCCTCCTCCCCTGAGTTAATCCCAAGGCAGGACTGTGAACCCCATTCCTTCCCTGTCCCCTCTTTCTGAGAAAACAAGCTGCCTCTCTGAGTCAGCTGCTGGCAGTATATTTTTATCATGCAACAAGTAATCAGCCCGTGAAAGTCATTACTGCAGGACGTCAGCCTGGCTTTTAGAGTAAAAGGGGATTGTGCTATTGCTTGGACAGACGGAGCACCTAAAGTCATGACAATATCTGTTAAAAAAGCAGTTTAGAAGAGGTGCTTCAAGCTGCTTTTTGACTACCAGGAGTCTGCAGGGGATATTCCTATAGGACAGGTTACCAGCAAACTGCTGTACTTGATGGGACTTTTGTTGTGTACTCTTAGGGTCAGGATACTGGGTTGGAACCTGGGTTTTCTGCTTGACTTTGCCTGAACATTGCTGTCTCTATTTTTACCCAGTGTGGCATCAACACAGTTGTGTCTCAGCACGGTTGCCACAGAGACAGGCAAGGACACCATGCTTTGTTTTTTACAAAACATGCCTCATTCTTGGTGTTCGGGTCTATTCTGAAGAAATGCACAACGTTTAAGAGAGAAACACAGAGTAAAAAGTGTACAATCTCCCATGAATATGTGTATACCCGTGCCCAGGGCACTTCTCTGCACTGGCCTAGGAGCAGCTCTAAGGGTCCATGATGCTGACACAGTTGGTCTGCCCAGGGCTGACCCACTCCGCCCATCTTCCCCCATTCTCATCCTTCTCTTGCACACTATCTTCTGGTGAATTTTATGGACATCACTAGAAAACCTGATAAGGTTTCCACTTTTTCAGCCATTGCAAGATGAAGACTTGAGATAGGTCTTATAAGATTAGAACTACTCTGCCCTGTCCCAAGGAGTGTCAAGTCCACCCAACAGGAACCACCTGAGAGAGGACTGCAGTGTGAAGAAAACATGCTGGGGCAGCATTTGCTTCAAATTTCTCCAAAAAAGATGTAAATCGGAGGGTGAATCTCAAAATCCTTAGCTGGTACCTTGGTAACTATATTACATGCTCTGTTGTCCTCAGTTTCACCCTGGGCTGGCTGCTTTCCTTCCTCAGGCTTTGGTTTATGTCATGATTTATTATGAAATGTCCCTTACCTCTAGGTCACCACATGTGTGAACAGCCGAAGAGGGGTATTGCAGACCACATTTTTAGATGGAAAGCTGCATTTTATATGTGCATTTATTTGTAATTGCCTCTGTCTATGGTTATGTTAATCATAGGGTTTCTGAGACCTTGGAGAACCATTTATGGCACCAAACTAATGAGCTTTGCTCCTCTTATGGCATTTCATTTCCTGAGCAATGTGGCCACTGTAAAAAGAGAAGCACTTGCATTAATTTTGCCTCATAAAAGACACCCAGAGTCATCAAAAGCCAACAAAAGCGAAACATTCACCTAAAGATATAATCACTGACCTCCTAAGCCTTGTCTCAATACACCCACGTCCCATGCTGTCCATGCTGCCAAGTGCTCTGGATGCTTCATCCCAGCATTTCCCAGCCAGAGGATTCATTTGAACCCTGAGGCAGTTCCCTGTGAGCCCTGAAGTTTTCCTGCTAGTCCAGTTTTAACCGCTCTCCGTGCCACAACACAGCGGGTCAGTGCCAGTTGTTGAACAGACAAGGTGGCTGCTGTTGAGTGATGGGAGATATTTGGTCTCTCTTGTGGCCAGAAAGACTTTTCTTGGGGTGGTCCCACCCACCATCGCCCACAGGAAAAGGAAGAGGCTGAAACCAGGTATCAAAGGCAGCCCTTAAGGGGATGGTGGTTCACTTTGAGGTTAATTTACTGAATATGGACAGTTAGATTTTGTGCCCCAATAGGTCTCACCCACGCCTATGCCTGATGTTAGTATGTTTTCCTATGGCTTTGCTAAGCCAGGAAACAAGGAGAGGTATTGTGTGATGAAGGATGGGAGATAAATAAAATGGCCTGTTGAACTTCTGATGTAAAGTGTAACCTGACTGCTGGGTAGTCTGGCACTCAGGTGCCTTGGTGCATGGAAGAGTTTCCCAGGTAGAGTGGTGGAGGTAACTACTAAATTAAGATGGTCCTGTCTAATTCAGGAGATGATCCAGGGGAGTTTTCTAGTCCTGATACCAAAAAAATGTAAG